GTTTGCTACTTCTTTTTTTTCTTTTCCCCCCCCCCCCCCCGTAATAGACGCCCCCCCCCTATATTAGAACGCCCCTGCGGGCAAAAAGTTTGAAAGATGTATTAGAAGGCCCCCCCCCCCCCTATATTAGAAGATCCCTTCAATGTAAAATCATTCTGTGGCAAAAAACTTGAAAGATGAGTTTGACGATCTGAATCTTCTTATTGGACAAAAAATGCTTTTCTTGCGTTGTTAATCTTTTAATTGAATATCACATGACGAGTTTTTTTTCGCATATATTGTTTGAGACGGATATTTGTTTCAAAGAGGATGTAAAACAAAGAAACAAAAGAAGAACAGTTGCATTTATGAGAGAAAAGAAAAAAATGCTCTTTTTCTCTCGGCTAGACGAGAATGTGACGATATAAAGAGTACGCTTCTCACGTCAATGAACTCATAATAACATGTCGACTAATGATGATAACATACATTTATTACCATTGGATGATTATAATGATTTCGAGAATTCTTCAAATGAATCAGAAGATGATTCAATTGAAGTAGTGTCAAATGTTGATGTACAAGAAAATCAAATTATTGATATGACTACATATTTCGAATTGAATATTAGTTCTGATGGTGAATTAGAAATTAATGGTGATGATAACTATAGTTCTGTACTTAATGTTGATAATAATCGTTCTTTATTTGATGATATCAATAATAGTTATTCTACACTTGATGTTGTTGTTAATCGTTGTCCAACACTCGATCTTAATAATAAACGTTCTTTATTCAATGATACAAATTATCATAGTGCTACACTTGATGATGCATGTTCACAATTTAATTCAGATGCATCAAATGATGATGATGAACGCGAATATCGTGCATTAAATATATCTTCTACATCTGTATCATCTCATCCATCATTGTTGACAACTAATACTATTGCATCAAGTAATAATGGAATCAAAGAAACATCAAAACGTAAACGTCGACAATGGTCGGTAGCAGAAAAACTTGATGCAATAGCTACTTTTAAATTGAATCGGAGTAAACATCGAACAGCTATGAAACATAGCTGTACTACTGCTCAATTACGAAAATGGTTGCATAATGAAATAAAATTAATCGATATTTCGAAAGAAAAAAAAGGTAAACTCTTCTAAGTTATTTGATTTATAGTTGCAAATACAATTTGACGTCATGCGAAATGTTTTTGAAACTTAACAAATAATAGCTTTTTTCGATTACGTATATAAATATATGTAACATAATTCTATTTGAATTTGAAATTTTATCATTTACAGTGAGCATACTCTTAGATTGCTTGAAATCATATCCACTTTTTCCTTTACTTCAGCAAGATGACTATATATAATCTATAAGGAATTTGTTTTCGTTACTTTTAGGTAGAAAAAGACGAAGATTAGGAGGTGCAGGTAAAAAGCTAAAATATATTGATCTGGATTTAAAATTATTAGCATGGTATCGAGAACATCGAACTAAAACTGATCCAAATTCTTCCACCTTCATCAATAATATTCGGCGTGAAAAAGTTTCCTTCAAACAACTTCAACGTCAAGGTGCTAAATTAAGTCGTGAATTAAAACATAATCCACCATCATGTAAATGGTATTATCGTTTTATGAAACGCCATAGATTATCTTTACAACGTCCAAAAAGACAACAAAAAATTCCTCTTATCGATGCTTATGCACTTGTTTCTTCATTTCATTCTTATATTCGACGTGCAAGCAAATGGGGTCCTAACACCCATTTAGAAGACCCCCCTAAATACAAGACCCCTCTGAGAAGTTTATACGCACGGATGCAATAGAAGACCCAGGGTCTTCTATTGCGGGGGGGTGGGGGGTTACTACAGATAATGTACGATTTTTATGCATTTTCTTTTCTAAAGAGTCGTCAATGAGAACATACTTTCGTAAGCTTATGTATATACTATGAGGCGTACTGCCGTCCTTATACAATCTAGAGAAAAAAGACTTTATCATAACTAATGAGCCATATTCACAATTCGCTTGTTGGCCACTATTTCAGCTATATGGTGGCCAACACATAATCATTCATTTCTGTTCCTCTTTTCGATCGTTGAAAAAGTTAGTGAAATGAATGATTATG